TCTCTTCCTCTCCTCCATTAGTCAAGGACCCAACGATACTAACAAGACCAAACTTCTCCCTATTAATGGATCCGTACCATTTCCCCTCACTGAATTCACCTCCATCAACAATGGAGAATTCATAAGGAAGACTGGCTGTGCTCACGGGAGCATGGCGAATTTTAAATATTTTGCTTTAACTCCTTTCAAAAGATCAACGCAGTGTTGCATCTCAAGCCTCAGTGCTTTGAGGAGAGGTCTGGAAACGGAGACTGCATACACAGCACTAACGAGTACCGTGTTCTTAGGAAACACAAACTGTCCTCCTACAAGAGCGACCACAGCTACCTCAGCTGTCTCTGTGGATGATAGGCTTCCTCCAGATACTCCAATTCTTAGCCCATACCTCTCCCAGTTTAGCAGTTGAGGCCTGTCTCCTTGTATCAGGAACAGTTTCTTACTGGCTATGTTAATGTCACTCAGACACTCTAAATTATCTGTGTACATGTATATAAAGCAAATATTAATTATTATTATGTATCACTTACCCATTGAAGGAATAACATAATCAAACTGAATACCAATAGAACTAATCCCTTTCACTGTTATTTCTATTTTTATAAAATAGAAATGTATTTACTAGTAATTAATGTACAATACTCTTACCAGCAGTTGTGGTGTCTTTCAATGACTGCAACTCTTCCTTTAGCTGTAATTTCTCTTTTGTCAGTTTAGCAATTACCATATCATCATCAACAGCTTTAGCTTTAAGCTTCTCATTGTCTTCTACACAAAAAATAACAAAAGGTATTATCATACAGTAATACTATGATAGTTATACCATTAGTTAAGGTTTTCTCCTCTGTCAGTGTGGCTATATAAGTTTCACTCTCAATAAAGTTAGCTTTAAGTTTCTCAATCTCTTCTACACAAAATAAATGTATAATAACACATTACCATATAAGGATATACCTTGACTGGTTGTTTGTTTAGTTTCTGTTGTCTGCTCCTCCTCCTTCTCCTCTCCTTAAGGTTACGGGATACAGTTTATGAATAATTAATTAGCTGTAGTCAATTGTTTTTTCATTTGTTATCTTTTTAAAAAATGACACTTCTTTCATTACTACTATCATTTTTAATGATTTATTTCTTATATAAGGTAGTCTGTTCATCTTATACAGAATGACTGTACTTGATATAGGCTGGGTTAATTATAAACACTTATAAATCAAAAATCTCCAGTCCTGAACAACAAAAGTCTCTAAAACAAATGGTAGCTCTTCTTGAGGCAAAAATGAAGGTCGTCACGATGAGATTTTTTGCTTTCTTTCTTCTTAACCTCAGAAAATCAGTCAAGAATGCTGAAAAACGCACTAAAATGGCCGCCAAATAGATCTATGGTGTGACTATCTCCGTTTCTACTAAGTCCAGCCAAAAGAATGCCACGACACGACCTAGATATCAAACTTAGCAAAATATTTACTTGGAGAACCATGTGAAATATGGCCCAGTTGAGCTTATTTTTGATTTATAAAAGTCCATTCCTTTTGACGCAGGGCAGCGCATAGCCATAAATAGATAAGCCAATGATAACTCGTGAGTCCCCACCCACTTTTTAAAATTACATTTTTAATTTTAAGGATCGAAAGATTTACGGTTAAAAAGGTATCCCGTAACCTTAAGATCATCATTATCTTTATAAACTAGTAAAAAAAACACACACACACACATCAAACAAGTGTCTAACTATTACTGTGTGTGTATATACTTACAATCAGTTGGTCCAGTAGACAGTTCCTCTTTAGTTGAAGATAGTTTAGTTTCTTTCACTGGTTCTACTCGTCTTCTCTAGTGGTATACATGTAGGTTTAATAACTACTGACACACACACACACACAATAGAGGACTATACCTTGCTGACTAGCCTCAAGGAGTGCTTCCTGCAGTGAGGACTTGTTTCCCTCAGATACTCTTAACTCCTGCTGCAACGATTCCACATAATTTTGTAGCTTTATTTCTCTGTCTGTAGGGTATACTATAAACTGATCTTGCCACCATTGTCTGTTCTTTAATAATAACTGATACTTGTGTTGATAAGCCTCAGTAGTCAGACCAGTAGAATCTAGTACTTCACTTACTCTCCATTCACCTTCTCTTAAAACTAATAGAAACATGAAGGAGGAATAATTCATGTATGTACATGTACATGTAAACATGATGTAATACTGTTACTAATCATAAAACACAATACATGTAGCATTGGAGGGTAAAATACTATATACTGTTATGCATTAATTGTAATTTTATTGACAAATTACAAACCAGAAAATACATTTTAAGGGACAATTGCTAAAGTGTCGGCCAAATGGCACTAATACACTGTACTATACATAGAACATGGTAATTTGGTTATGTCAACTATCATTGCAGTTCATTATAACAATAATAATTCCCCCATGTTATGATATGGAATACCAGCTATGATGTATTCAAACTTAAACCTAAGTTGTATCTCCAATAAATCCCTTTATACAGTACATACATGTACAATACAAAATAGTTCAGTTCTTACCTAGTTCTATTAACATTGTGATATAAGGATCAGTGATACGTTTAGAAAATGGTTGCTTGTATCCTCTTCCTACATCTTTCCATTCAGTTGCTCCAGTCCCACCCACTACCACCAACCATATACAGTCTGGACTCATCATTATTGATGATAAGGAGTGATCCACTCTACCAGTAACAGATTCAGGTAGAACAATCTGTTGAAATAATACATGTATGGTTATGGTAATATTTTATCATGCAAACAGTATTTACATTATGTTACAAATATTGAAGGGAATATACATGTACATGCATTAGGTACATGTACTGTACATGCACACAGTGAGCATTTCTAAGGTATTAATACAATATAATACATTAACATGACAACTACTGTACAATCACTGTATCACACACATGTACACTCTAAACTAATAACATTATACACATACCTTACTCCACTGGTACTGACTAGTATTCAGTAACCAACTATCATTTACTAGTCCATCATTACCCTCTCCGCCTATCATTACTAGTGTAGGTGAGTCACCGATGATACTAGTAATAGCATGTTTCCGTCTCTCTACAGGCCACTGTACACTAGCAGGTACTACTGGTCCCTTAACACTCTCCCAGTGCTAGATAAAATGAATTAATCAATATTATAAAATGCATTAATGCATGTACACTGTTCTATTATACTTAAGAGTTTGTCCATTTAATTATAAAATAATTATATTAATACTAGTGATAGTTGTCATTAAAATAAATTATTAAACTAAATCTACATGTAATACCAAGAGTAGATAAGGGGCTACCCCCTTATCTACTCTTGGTAATACTTATTGAATACGATTTTCAAATTACAAGCTATACTAGACGAATGTAAAACATTAAAGGGGCGAGCCTAAGCAAGCTGTAGATTATGTGCTGTATGATATACATGTCTGAGCTAGCAAAGCAATTGCACATGTCTAAATTCAGTATCTTGTAGTCATCTTGCTTAAATTAAAGTTATCTTGCTTATAGTTAGAAGCAGTCACTGAAAAAATCATGTTTGAAGATTGTATATCTGCTTTGTTAACCTAGGTTTGCTCCTAGAGAAGAAACATGGCCTAGAATAGATGTCATGATGCAAGCAGCTATAGCAGTACAGTACATGCAGCTTTCTCACTTGCATTCAACTTAGCAGAGTCCTTTATGCCAAGGAAAAGACTGTATATCTGCTTTTCCAACCTTTCTTCTTGCTAGAGAAGTTCTTAGACAGCAGTTTAGTCTTATCTTGCTGACCGTCTGCTGCAAATAAGCTCAGGCTTGCTGATGGCCGCCATTTTATTCATTGTGACCACACCTGTTTTCATTGAAGATTAGGCTATTTAACTTTAATGATAGTTAGACGACCCTATCATGCCCGTACATACATACATACAGACACTTTCTCGCCTTAGTGGGGCGAGCTCAGGCTCGCCCCAACCAGTATGTACATGTATTAATGTCCAAACATGCAATAAATACATCCCATAGAGTAATAAGATAGCTTACTATTGTAGTATCAGACTCCAGTTGACATGTATAGACTGTATTAACAAGTAAGCTTCTACCATCATCACTAGGCACTGCTCCACCAAACATGACAGCTTTATCATTAGTAATCTTTTGAATAGCAAATTCAGCAGTAGGAAAACAACACTGACCACTAATAGTTGGAATAATCCATTGTCCTAAATAGAAATAGATAGTATAATTAGAATTATTAAGTATGACATGCAAATATCATGTACATACGTGTATACATCAAGAGTAATAATGGCTGGAAATTAAATTGACAGTTTGGTAAAAAAAACAATCAGTTTAAATTCGTCATTTTAACATTTGATAATATAATTCATAAAGAAGTATTAGAGCTCAGTAAACTAAATGAAGAATAAATGACAGACAACCAGACTACCTAGTCCCTCACCGACACAAAGGATTGGTGAGGGACTTATTCAATAAATTTAATTAGACCATGTGGACAAATTATTAATAGGTGGAGTAGGATGCATCCATGCTTGAAGGCTTCATTTTCAATTTTGTATTTTTAATTTTATGTAGCTGATGTAACTAAAATTTAGTTAGTCAAATCAACTGTCTCTTCATACAATGATGGCTCATGCTCACTCCTTCAATGCTTACAAGCACCTACTTAATATGCAAATGGTAAGAAAAATAATGATTAAAAATATGTCATCACAAGCAGAGTATAGATTGTTAATAATAATGCATTAATTGATAAATACTTACTTGTTGATAAATTTAATAAATTCTGTTCATTAGTAAGAATACGACCATTAACCATCTGAATATACTGATACTGTGATTGGTATGTAGTGGGTATAGAACCAATCCCTCCAGTCATAATTAGGTATTCTGTACCCATAGACTCCATACACACCATACCACCATTAGATCTCTTCATTACAGCATCACTGGTTGGTATTATATTACTCCATTCATATTTTAGACTGTTAAATGAGTTGACATCATTATGAAAGCAGATTTCATGTCCACAGTAGCCACCAAAAAAGAAGATATCATTGTTTCTGGTAGCACAGAAGTATCCCATAGCTCCTAGAGGAGGTGACATTCCTCTGGTCACGTGAGAAGACCAACGACCAGTCCTAAACTCCAGCCTATCAATGGTGGACAATAATTTCCTCTTTTGTGGGGAATCATGAACACTATATGTAAGTCAGGCCTTTCCCCTCCCCACAGGAACACTGATTCTCCTACTACAGGAGCTGAGTGTCCTGTTATCCCTCCCAGTTGATAAATACCTGTAAAATACAAACATGCATGATGAGAAAGAGGAGGAAGAAAACAGAAACTGACCTTTAGACATTGCTTTGTGAAAAATGTTAATTAACAAGCCACACCCTTAGACTAATAACAATTTCATTACTCATAATAATCATAATGACCCATGCCATTTAAGTACAGTATCAGTAATTATTATTAGTTGGTTGTATTGTATGTCAAGGAATACATCATGTTAAAACATGTCTTCTTTTTTTGCTGATGAGGTGATGGTCCTGCTATTGAATGCATTGGAATATATTTTTAGTGAGTTGGTGAGTCCAATTAATTAATAATTGGTAGTTGGTACTCTCTTGGTTATTATGATAAAAGGTACTTGAGCTAGCACTTACAAGAAATTTACTGATAAACTAATCCTTCTGTTTTCCAGACGTTGACCTGCTTCCTATCAAAATTGATTTTTTGTCCAAAATTTGGCCAACAGCCATTAGTACAGGATATTTTATTAAAATTGAATTTTTTACACTGATGTTTTATAAAAAGTTTGAGCTGATTTTGATTCATATTGAATTTTAAAAACATTTTTAATGTTGCTCAAAATTTAAAGGAAATGCCATGGGTACAGGGTATTTTGCCAAAAATGGCTCTGAGAGAATTATTTATTTCTATAAATTTTCCTGATACATATTCATGATTTTATGTTGCTAGAATGTTTGAGCTGATTTGGATTAAAACTGGATTTTTAATGAATTTTTAAAGTTGCTCAAAAATTAGGTCAGGGTCTCTTGTACTACAGTACATGGTCTCGGGCCAAATTTTACCAAAATTGAAATAAAATTAATTTGTACATGTACTCATTGTGTTAGAAAAGTTTTGTAAGTAAGTTTGGATCTTTTACAAATTTTAAAGCTGCTAAAAAATCAGGCAAACGACCCTGTACTACAGCACAGTGTCTTCGGCCAATTTTCATCAAATATGGCTAGGAAAGAATTCTTCATTTTTATAATTTTTTTCTGGTGCATATGCATTTTTTATGTGGTGTAGTTAGTTCAAGTTGCTTTTAAGTAAATTTGGATTAAAAAAAATTATTTTAAAGTTGCTCCAAATAGGGCAAAAATCCTGTACTTATTACTAGTACAGCATTTTGGCCAAATTTTGCCAAAATTAAAAAGGAGAATTCTCCATTGTTATATTTTTTCCTGATATTCATATTCTTAAGTTGCATAGATTTACATTTCAATAAATAAATTTTTTCTGATACATATGCATGTTTTTATGCTTAACTACATGTATGTATGAGATTCAGTAGTCATAGCCATTGAATGATTTCTTGCTTTATTTTTTTAAACAATTTGAACGAGGTTGCTGAACTATTTCAAAAACAAGCAGTCCAAATGAGGTGAAAATATAGGAACAAAAATTATAAGGTAATTTTTAACTTACAAAGAAAGTATTACACACATAAAGGACCCTATACCATCAAGTCTTGTGCAAGCTGTGTACATTATTTTATTTCTTGATACACATTGACATATTGACGTCCTTATGTTGTGTAGAAAGTTTGAGCTAATTCCAACTTCAATTTTTCAAATTACAGCCATTACAAAAATGCTAAAATTCTGAAAAATACCCAAGGCTATAGCCCATGTTTTTTTTTAAAATGGTTCCAAAATCACTAAAAGCTTTGTAGAAAGTTTGAGTTGATTCTGATTTCAATTTTTCAAGTTATGGCCATTGTTTTTATAAAAATGCTAAAATTCTAAAAAAATACCCAAGCTAGCCTTCAGATTTTTCCAAAAATGACTTCAAAGTTACTAAAAAAATTATTACATTTTCTGATGCATATTGATGTTCTTATGCAGTGTAGAAAGTTTGAGCTGATTGTGACATTAATTCTTCTAGTTATGGCCATTTTAAGAAAATGACAAAATTCTGAAAAATACCCTGTACTATGTACTATATATAGCCTGTGATTTTTTCAAAAAATGGCTCCAAAAACGTCCCAAACTTTTATTACATTGTCTGATACATATCAATTTCCTTAAGCTGTGTAGAAAGTTTGAGCTAATTCTGACTTCAATTTTTGAAGTTACGGCCATTTTAAGAAAACATCAAAAATCTGAAAAATACCCAAAGCTTTAGGATTTTTCCAAAAATGGCTCCAAATTTGCTAAAAAAATTTATTAAACTTTCCGATGCATATTGATGTCCTAATGCTGTGTTGAAAGTTTAAGTTGATTCCGGCTTTAATTTTTCAAGTTACTTACCATTTTAAAAAAACATCAAAAATCTGAAAAATACCCAAGGCTATATCCTTGGGTATTTTTCAGTTTTTGACATTATTTTTGTATTTTACCAAAAAATGGCTTCAAAAACACCCTAAATTTTTTTAATTTTCTGACTTCAATTTTAAAAGTTATAGCCATTTTAAAGAAAATGCTGAAATTTTAAAAATTAGAGACAAAAAGAGAGAATACAGTTACTATAGTTCTGATCTAATATTATACTTTATTGTTTTGTGGTTAGTAGATAGTTAAAGAGACCAGATGGATCTATACTTGCTGAACATGTGGAGAATGTTCCCTGAGCCATTTTTGAAGAAATACAATGTATTGTATCAGTGTTGGAGCATTTGCCATCCCTTGAACTTAATTCATTGATCACTGATTTGCCCAGTTTATCACAGGTCATACGGTGATTTCTGTTATATTAGTATTTTTATAAGCAACTGGCTTGTGTCACATCATTTTGTTAATGGTACTTCAAAATAACAAAATTCATAACATAAAGTCACAAATAAAATAACTTCATAAATAATGCTTAATAATAAATAGCATGTACATAATGTGACAGGTGAGTGTGTGTGTGTAAAATAATAGTTGAATTACCACAGGTTATTGATTTCCATGTGATTGCAAGTTGTGTATAAAAAGTATTGCAGTCATAGTTCATTGTGAACTCTCCATTGCTAGTTCCCATTCTTCTTGTATCATAGCAGAAGCATCAGCTACTGGCCCTCCAACATTAGTCAGAGCAGACAAAAACTTCTTAATCCTCTTCTCTACTTCAGACTGAGTGCGCATGAAATTAATGCCAGAGAGAAACGATCCGATTATTTTATCGTAAGTTGGGGATTTGTGGATGTCTTGTGGTATGATACCAACTTGAAGGAGCTCATTAGAGATACTTTTCAGAGAGAGATCAAAAACATCATTCAAGTCAACTTGGTGCTGAGTCAGAACTTGCTTGATGGTTTTCTTCATAGTCTTACTATCAATACCTATTATAACACAGTTTAAACTGACTAGATCTATATATTAGATATGCCTTCTGTCTCTCAACTCAATGTGCATGTTATGAATTAAAGTAAATATCTTTATGAACGTGAATCAAAGATGTTTAGTAATTACCTGAATAAAGATTAGGAGCATTTCTGGGCATGATGGCTGATGGTTGCTGGACCTGTTGATCTATTGAGTGTATTATTAAAATCAAGTAATAATACAAAATACAATACCTGTAGAT